TGTGTGTGTGTGTGTGTGTGTGTGTGTGTGAGAATCAACCCTACAGGATTTCCCAGCAGACTTTGAGCAGCACAGGGACAGTCATTTAGTCTTTTTTTTCTTTTCTTTTTTTTCAGTTGCAGTTAAATGCCAGCAAAACTATTATCTAATTCATTACATTCTGTTTCGCAATATATGCATGTGATTTACATAACACAGTACACTTATGCAATAGTAGACTTATGAAATGGAAGTGGGTTGAGTTTATTTTTAATGCTAGGGATTTTACAGTCATGTCTCTAATCCACTGCTAATTTTATTGTGTTGTCTTGTTTATATTAGTCATGCCTTTCACCTCTGAGATGGCTAGCCTTTTCTTTAACTAAAGGTTTTACCACTACATGCAGGTTTTGAAAATTGAAATTGCATTAAAGAAACTGATATTTACAAAAGCATTTAGATCGTTTTTGTTTCAAATTTACGTATTGATACAGCAAATTTAGTCAACACATCTTGATTCTCAAGTTAATTTGATTCTCCTGTCAATATCCAAATGGCAAATGGCAGTTACTATTCCAAAGGTACTGCTGTTAAACCAAATCCTCCTGCTGTATCAGATTACTATTAGATCCATTAGTGTCCAAGCTCAGGCAACTGCTGTAATGAACACTAACCAACAATGAGCTCCGCTGCCAAGAGAACAGATTCGATTGCTCTCATCTCAGCCTCTCATGATTGCACGAGTTTCTGTCACCCATAAATAACTTTACAGCATTCGTACGCTGCAAAGGTGGCATGCGTAAGGCATGACAGCTGTGTATGTGTTTGTATGTTTGTCTATTTAAGTTGAGGTATGTTTCATCCAAGTGTGTTGGGCTGGGCAGAAAGGCCTTCGGAGAAGAATGTGTTTGCCCTCTTGAGAAACTCTATCCTTCTGTAGTTTAGACTATATATGCGTGGAGGGGAGTGAGATCACAGATTATAAAGTAACATTTGAGGTGTCTTCGTTATGATGCTAAGAGAGATCTGACTGCTTAACCCCATCTAACCCTTCACAACTGCAGCAGCCAATCAGAGCGCGGCGTTTAAAACCTGATGTTGAATGTACGAAAGTGTACATTTTACATTTTCCAAGTAAATTACAAAAACCTTATCCTAAAATCGTCATGCTGAGACCACAAGAAATAACAGAATACTAAAAGAAACCATTAGCTATCTAATTCTAGTACAACAAACGAAGATAATACAAATGTAAAAATATAAGGCATGACAGGTGAGATGGTGTTTTCTTAACGATTCTTCCTTGAACACTAGGCGTTTACGAGCTCTATGCAAGTATTTATGCAGCTGCCAAAGTAACTTTGCCAATGAAAACTACAAATAGATATAAATCACACAGAAAGTTCTAATGCACAATGACTGTCAAAATATTGTTTGACTATTTGGATTTCAGACTTTCTGACAAACAGTCGTCTAAAAAGTCACAAGCTCAGTTCACAAGCTCAGCTTTTACAGTGTAAAAATAAATATAACTGAGGCACCATTTGGGGTCACACCAGTCTAACACTCTGGAGAATGTCAGTTCTTTGAGGAACCCGCAAAACCCACAAGTTCCTGCAAGAATGGTCAATTAAATATATATATATATATATATATATATATATATATATAGATAGATAGATAGATAGTGATGTTCCTAAAAAACACCATTAGGATATTTGAGGAACCTTTAAAAGGGCCTAGAGGTTCTCCAGAAGGTTCATATCTGAGGAACCCCAAATAGTCCCTCAAGAATCTTTTAATTTTTACATTGGCTGCCTTTGCACTCTTAAAAGTCATGGTTCTTTTTTGGCATCTATTGTTCCATGAAGAACTTTTAACATCCATGGAACCTTTCCATTGCACCAAAGGTTCTTTATGGTGGAAAAAAGTTTCTTGTGGATTTTTAAAATGTTCTTCAAACTAAGAAAATGGTTCTTTTAATTACGGTTTACTGAAAGGTTCTTTGGGGAACCAAAAATGGAACCACTTCAAAAACCCACTTTTGGAACCTTTATTTTAGTAAGTGTGTTTATACTGCAAGCCAGGTTGTGCAAACAACCCATTACAAAGAAAAATAAAATGCTTCTTGACAGGAATGGAGAATTTTGCTATGGAGTTTTCTCTAAAACTTTAGAAAAGATCTCAAGTTTTCGAACGTGCTTAGATATTCCAAGATACCAGTCTGCAATCAAAATTCAGATATCTCAATATGAACTCAAACATATCTCATCAGATTCTTTCAAGACCAAATGACCCAAGTTATGCTATCTGCATTATTATTTCATACCTCTTTACTCTCACTTTATGTTAGCAGTTGTTTCATTTATGTCCATTTTTTAGGAAATTCTCAGAGGAAACGAAATGCCTAAACTCTAACCTTACCTGCGTGAAGGGAAAGCTGGCGGGAAGAGAGACTTGGAGAGAGAGAGAGAGCCAGAGGTGAGAGATGGGGATCCACCAGGCGTCTTATATACTCTTGCTTACCCTATGTCTATTTCAGGATAGACTGGGTCATAATGCAACACGCAGGAGAATAAAGGATTGAGTGTGTGAGAGATCACTTTCTTGGTGGCACTAACGAATCAAATGCTACTATTAATAATCAGGTCCCATTTGACTTCTTGTGTCCTCACAGTAAATCTCTGTCTGTTACTCTGTCTTCAGCTTCTAAAGCTCCATTCCAAACCCTAGTGAACTGCCTTGCTGTCTACTGCCTACATCCTGACTCAAATGGAAATAGGTGACTGATTTGAAATGCTCCTCCTGGACAGCAACCTAGCACACCACAGGAGACGCGACTCACGATTGATTCAAATTGACTATACCAGTTCAGTCCATTGGAGCTCAATAGCGATTGCCCACTTATTCAGTGACCTTGGTACTGAAGTGTTTTTCCCATTCATTTTCTTGATAGGCATGTAAAAAATGTTTGTCAAGACTTCTAAAATCTAGATGTTTAACAAAACCAACCAGCTCTTAAATGAAGCACACAATTAAATTAAAAAAAATATACAAAAAAGTACATAAATGAACTACTCATCCCACAAAGCATTGCATATGGCAAAACTGAATAAAAAAAATGATGGCACAATATATAGCTATCGACTTTAAATCATTGATCCTAAGTATAAAATACATTTTACATGAAGCTTAAAGGGATAGTTCACCCAAAAATGAAAATTTGATGTTTATCTGCTTACCCCCAGGGCATCCAAGATATAGGTGACTTTGTTTCTTCAGTAGAACACAAACTGAGATTTTTAACTTTAACCGTTGCAGTCTATCAATCGTATAATGCATGGCAATGGTAACAAAATCTATGAGAGTAAAAAAAACATGCACAGATAAATCCAATTTAAACCCTGCGACTCGTGACGACACATTGATGTCCCCCTGGGGGTAAGCAGATAAACATCAAATTTTCATTTTTGGGTGAACTATCCCTTTAAGGCCTGCTGACACCAACACAAATGTTTGACACTAAAATTCGGTCCAGTTTTTGCATGTGATTTGTCTGTTCAGACAGATAAATAAAAAAATGGCAGACAAACTGAATGAAATTGTACTTTCATTCTCTGACAGTAGGTGGAACTTATAGAAAATCTGAAATACCCTTGAACAAAAAGACTTGAATGCAACTTTCTGTTTCTGACACCCGGAAAAGAAGTCAATATTCACATGTTTGCATCAGCTGTTCTGATTTTTGTTGTAATTTTATGTAACAGTAGCGGCTTTGGGAATGTGACTAAGAGCCCGTCCACACGGAGACGCGTTTAGCTGTATACGTAAAAATTTTGTATCGTATCGGGATTTCGTCCAGACGGATTCGGCGTTTTGGGAGCCTGAAACGCTATTTTTTGAAACCGGGTCCCAGAGTGGATAAATCTGAAAACGACACCCTTGCGTTTTCGTGTGTACAGCCAATCTGTATATTTTGTGAAACGATGATGTCATCACCCCACGTCTCGACCCTAGTCAGACACCGCTACGTCACGTAACGCCAACAACAACAACAACGGCGGACTACATGCTTGTGTTCGTGCTGCAGAAGCTACTGAGCCTATTAGCTTTACTAAAGCAAAATCAAATATTACGAAAACAAAAATGTTTGTATACAGCACGCAAGGTCTTCTTCTCTTCAAAAGTCTTCTTCTCCATTTTTAGTGTATCTCTGTGGCAGAATTACAGCAACACATACTGGTCTGGCATGTATACTACATCATTTTGAGTTGGCTTCAGTGGTTTCGTGTGTACGCAAATATTTCTTGAGACGACGCCGTGTTTACGGAATTTTTTTTAGAATTAAGATTCTGAGTTCATATCTCACAATTCTGACTTTTTCTTCTAAGAAAAAATTATTTCTTCAGAATTCTGCGATATTCGCAATTCCAAATTTAAATCTCACAATTTTTACTTTTTTTCTCTCAGACTTAATTTCTCGCAATTGTGAGATATCAATTCAGAATTACAAGAAAATAAATTCTGTTGCTTTGGAATGCAATTTTTTGTGTTGGTTGGAACAGACGCATTAACAACTGTTTATTCAAATTAAAATGTTCATCACGCCAAATTTTCAAACCAAACACTTATTTATAAAAAAAACTTCTATTGTAATTTGATACTTCTACACACTACACAAGAACAAGCACTCTCCCACAATGTTTACTATCAACTATGCTGAGCAAAAACATCCACTATTTATTTATTTATTTTTATTTTTTCAGAATACATGACTACTTTAGAATGGCCGTCAATCAAGTAAGATGCTTTTTTGACCACAGAATGCTGTAAAATTTGCCAAATTCGGAACATGTGACATACACCTACATGTCGGTGACATCAGAGTTCTAGTGTGACATGAGGTAACATTCAATGGTCTTTTTTCCCCAAATAGTTGCAAATTCAGACATCCTGAGTGAAATGCAACATGCCATAAATTATATCTCCAGGCATTTTTGTCACCCTGGCGTTGAAATATATTTGTCCAGGATTTACAGTGACTGAGCCACGTGCCCCCACCAAAAAAAACCGGGGAAAGGTTTCACTCATACTTAACGCATAGTTAAGACAGTTGACGAAAGACAGGGAGAATCTCCTTACACATGTTTACACACAACACCAGTGCATGGTGGGTATACATAGCCCTGCGTGATCCCCTGTAATGTGACACTGTATTCATAAGAACATCTATATCAAACCAGCTGGGTTTCAGATGTCCCTTGTCCTGTAAATTACTTTCTATAGCTATTCTAGCATTCCTCCATCAGCTTCTTTCCCTCTTCGCAGATAAATCACTAATTTCTACTCAAGGTTCTTTAGAACAGTATGTACTTGAGTTTTAACCAATGTATATTTCGCTTCCTTTCTATTTCTTGGTATATAAAATTTTTTGGTTTCCTCATATTGGTGGCAGTCAAGGTGGGGGGCCACAACCATCTCCACACTCTGTGACAGTGTCGGGTCTGTGGATATATGGCGTGATAATCGGAGGCCCTGTGTTGGTGTAATACGTATGAGCAGGTGTTCGTGAGTTTTGTTTTTTATTACGACTTTTACAGTGTTGGTCATAGCGCAGCCTGTCGTATCGAGATTAATGAATGACTGTGTGTGCTTGTCAACTCTCAGCAGTTTCTCTTTGGCACCTCGGAAAGTGGCACTCAATCCTGTCGTCTCAACTAACTGATGTGAAATACTTGCCACATAAACACACACACACACACACACACACACACACATATGATAAACAGTGCACAGTGATTTACAGTCTTCTCCTGTGCAGTTTGTATTTATTTACTTGTTTATTTGATATAATTTATACAGATTTTATAGCATATATTACGTAAAATAATTATTGCATATATATATATATATACAGTAGTAATTAAAATATGATATAAAATACATTTAAATGTATTATTTATCATTTTATATTTTATATAACAAATTACATATCAATTTAGATTTAAAAAGTACAATAAATATATATAACCAAGCAGGGGCATTTGTTTTTGTATGTATGTATTTATTTATTCATTTATTTTTATTTAACGGACTCTTGACCTCTGTATGGTGCTATTAACATTGACATTCATCCCTCCTTTACTTTTGGCTTCTAGCAGGTGAGGAGAATTTCTTTTGGGCAGACAGACAGATAGAAGTTGAAGTGAGAAGGGACAGCAGAGAAGAAAATAGCTGTGTGGAAAACGTTACTTGTGGCATTAGGCAATTCATTGTAAATTAGCAGGCATAATCCCATAAAACTGCTGTGAAACGCCATTGCATTAAATTGATCAAAAGTGACAGTTAAGACATTTATAATTTTACAAATAATTTCAAATAAATGGTGTTTGTACATTAGAAAAACACACACACACACACACACACATATATATATATATATATATATATATATATATAATTATTAAGTAATCATATTATATTATAGTAGTTACAATCCAGCACTGTATAATTAAATATAATGTAAATATATATAAATATAGTGTGTGTGTGTATGTATATATATTACATTATATTTATTTATACAGTTCTGGATAGTAACGGAATACCTGTAATCTGGATTACATAATCAGATTACCCAGAGTACTTATAACTGGATTATATTACATTTTAAAATACTCATAATCAGATTACAGTTACTTTTTTAAGGATTACATGATTACACCATGAAACCTTGGTGTAACGTATTTTGAATGTACTTCATGATGTTGATATCAAATAATGGAATATATTTTCATTCCCTTTGCTCTTTATATCTATATGGTAGATTTAATGGTAAGTTTAAAACATGTTAGGTAAAAAAGGTAGTCTAAAAGTAATCTAAAAAGTAGTCAGAATACATTACCTAAAATGAGTAACCTAGATTGTTACCAACTACAGTTTTCATCAAGTAATCTGTAATCAGTAACAGACTACAATTTGTAAGTAATCCACCCAGCACTGTGTGTATGTGTGTATATATATATATATATATATATATATATATATTCTGTTAGTTTTCATGGTCAGAACAAGAAACGGAGCCCTGACGAGGCAAAAATCTGTCTTCCTCTTAGGGATTCCCTTTTAACACAGCACTTCCCATCTGTTAAATTTCGAAATATTGTTACTGTAGCTTGATCCTGCCTACATGACTAATCTAGTCTCTCTCTCTCTCTCGCTCTCTCTGTACCCTCTGTTCTCTCACCATGCAAGAGTGTTTCACTATTTTTTCCAGCCCTATTACATTATCCTGCCTCAGCAATACTCATACACGGGGCTCGCTGTGCAAAAGAAAAACGAAGACAGAAAGAAAGGCAGAGGGAGACAGAAATAGAAAGAAAACGGATCCACAAATGGACTGTCCTACTGCTAATAAATAAGGAGTGATGAGAGGACAGAGAAGGGAGGATGAAAATGGTGATTGGTCAAAAGGAACTTACAGTCGTTCACACAGAACGCACTGCTTTCCCATTGTTTTTCTATGTAATCATGCGCTAGGATAAACGAACACGTTTGACTGTTGCACTCCCGCCTTTCTAAAAACATGGCGTTCAGGTTAAAAGTTCAATTAATAACCTTGCATTTCCAATTGAGACACGACATGACAAAACTACCGTTACAATTATAATCAATATCAACAACTTCATTCATTATGACCTTGATTATAAAGTGAATAGTTTTGGTCCTGTATCGGTCAATACAGTGTTTCAGACGCACAATTATTATGCTTTCGTATTCAATATTTTAGATGTGGCTATTTTCACTAAACCAGGGGTCTCTAAATTCGGTCCTGGAGGGCCGGTGTCCTGCAGAGTTTAACTCCAACTTGCCTCAACACACCTGCCTGGAAGTTTCTAGTATCCCTCGTAAGATCTTGATTAGCTAGTTTAGGTGTGTTTGATTAGGGTTGGAGTTAAACTCTGCAGGACACCGGCCCTCCAGGACCGAGTTTGGAGACCCCTGCACTAAACTATATCACTAAAATGGCCACCACCATCAGGGGCCACCTGCTCAGTGCTCAATCATACACTTACCGACTTTGTAATAGTCACAGAGGAAAAAACTGGCCATCGTACACTAAACGACTGAGGATCATACACTACCAAAGTCGTTCCAATCACAACAAACTCACGCAGAAAGGTGCGCCTTGTTGCTAGGAGACGCGTGACAAATGAAAACAATATTTGTTCTAAAATCGGCTCAAAATATCAAACATGTTTGATATCCTCCGACTGGATGGAATCAGTTTGGAGTTAAAAAATCGACTGTGACCATCAAACACTACATGATTTTCTATTGAATCTGTCAACTCAAATCTGCAGACTGGCTCTGACTTTCAGCAACTAGCGTCAGCTTCTCCAGACAGTAAATCGGCAGAAAATCTTGGCAAAAATCGTGTAGTGTATTCCAGCCTTTAATGAGTCTTCATTTCATATATGTAAACAACATTTACATCATTTCATTTCATATTAATTTTTTAGGTGTAAAATATATTTCTCCTGAAGGATACAAAGAAACACACATTAGCAGACATTAGTTGACATACAATGGGCAAACCTGAGAACAGTCTTGATATATTGTTGCACTCTCTTCTGAAACTCACAAATGAGATCTTTTCTCAGTAGAAACATCTGAGAAGCAGGAGACTTACGAGTCTACAGGAAACAACTGACATATTAAAGAGATCTCATTTGTGATTGGTGTGACTGACAGTTTTAAAGACAACATGAAATAATATTTGCAACACATTTTACTTACATAAATGTAAGGCAGGACTTAATTTTATAATTTTGTAATTCAATCACTTTTTTGACAGCCCTAATCAATACACATCTTTATATAATTATGCATACATGAAGCATACTATTTCCAGCAATTTATGAAGTTTGTAGAAAACGTGTCCTCTGACCTACCTACTAATACAAGCACATACAGTAACACTGTTTGGAAAACAATCTCCAGATTCAAAGAAGCCCTGTCAGTCAAATCTTTACACTGTCCTCCTCTCATTTTGTGAGAACATATGCGCGAGCAGTAAACATAGGCATGTGTGTAACCTGTAGGTTGAGTTTTCGGCGCGTGGCAGCGAATGGCCTTGAATTGAGATTATGACACATTCGCTATTTCTTGCTGAAGTGGCAATGTGAAACCTCAGAAGCAAGAAAACAAAAACAAAAAAAACTCACAGCTGCCATGACCTTGAACTTAATGTAGAGTCTATGTGTATGTATATGATTGCAATGTTGTAAGGTTCACCCTCTTGGATTAAAACTGCCAGGACATTGTTGACATTCCCAGGCTTAAGGGACCTTAGAAGTACATTTAAAGTGTGATAGTAATACGTACAGAACAGTAAATATAGTCTGTTACACAGTCCCGTAACAAGACTGGCCTGCGAATATAGTGTTGCTATATATATATATATATATATATATATATATATGTTTGGCTGTTATATACAAGAGAACATCTTGACAAAATATATCTATTTAGGATCGTTAAATCATTTGTTACTTTGCAGATGGTCTGTTTGGTGCCACCTAGCGGTCACTCATTATCAGTGCATCTCAATCTTTCACAAGCCCTTAATTCTACTGATGTTCCTTGCTGGTAACACTTCAAAGAGAAAGGAAAACTTGAAATCGCATCATATGACCCCTTTAAGCCTAGACCAGAAATAAAATAAAACACTAAATAAAAAATCTCCTCATCCTCATGCAATTGTAAAACATTTAGCTGTTATTTATAAAAGACTAAATTTGTTAAGTGAACCTTTAAAGTTTAAGTGTGTAATTTCTGATTATACTGTTATAGTGGCACCAAATAAAAATGCTAAATTAATTATTGCTTTTCAAACAGGTTTCCCAAATAGGTATTATTTATAAAATAATAGTGATAATAGAATGGAATGTTTATTTATTTATTTATGATTATTAATATTTTAAGAGTTATCACTGTGGCTATATCAAAATCCCTTTTTTTTTTGACCGACTTGACTTGGTTCAGTCATGCAACCAATATAGTGAGTTGTAGGCGGGGCTATCTGTTTAGCTGACCAATAGCAGATTGGAGCAGATCATTCAATATTTTTGCAACTCCATTTGGTCACATAAGCATTGTGCAGAAATTACAACATAAAGATTAAAGTCACAGATAAATATAAGATAAATTTGCTGCTGAAATGTTTTAAGACCTGTGAAAGAAATAAACAAATTAAATTATTTCATCTTTAAAACCTTTAATGCAGTGTTCACATCCGAGTATATAGTGCAACCACAATGACTTGTCTCCCCTGTTGCAGGTGAGCTGATGTGAATTCCTCTCATACTCGAGCATTAATCAGACTGACTACTGAACTGAAAGAGAAAAAGATTCAACTACAAGACGAGAATGAATCAACGAAAGGTTGTCTATTTTTTTTTTTTAAGTAGGCCTAAAATTATA